CAAAACAGCCAGAATGCTTTGGTGGCGTTTTTTTAATAAAAAAAATAAAAACCGTCTTTTTTCAAAATGCCATTTATCCAAACTGCAGCCTTCACTGCTCGGAGTGAAGCAGGAATCTCAAAGAAATAAAGTGTAAGAGACTTTGAGAGTCTAAACACAGCAGTTTTAGATCGATTAAAAAGAAATAAGACACATTCTAATTATATTTATTACCTAAACTTGGAGGAAAATACCCAGTAGGTAAGTAAGAACATGGGTGGGCTGATCATGATGGGCCCAGGGCAGGGGGGTTGGAACTCAATGATCTTTGAGGTCCCTTCCAACCCAAACCATTCTATGATTCTATGATCTGGTATCCAGAATACAAGAACCTGAGTTTCAGTCCTAAAAATTCCACTAAAAACTTAAGTGTGATCTCAGAACTAAGACAAAGGGGTGGGAGAGTCAATGTTCAAGCGACTCACTTTATGGAGGAGCGGGAGCTCGTCACGACGGCGAGGAGGTTCTGCAGGGCCAGGTCCGCGTTGCGCTTCACAGCGGCCAGGCTGGCCGACTGCCCCGACCTCAGGGCTTCGTTCTCTGTCTTGTAGTTCTTCAGCTGAACCTGGGGAGGAAAAGGCCAAAAAAGGTATGAAAAATAACTGCAAAACTCCAGCAGATACTTCACAATTCTGAGCAAGGGACAGCAACTCATGAGCAGATCCTGACTGCCTGGAGAGGATGTCCTTCCAGCTCTGGAGAGCATATCCTGACAAAAAACTACAGCTCAGAAGCCTAAATTAAAGCTGAATTTTCATTTTCATGCCAGCCTGCAGCCCAAAATCTGCTCTTTTCACTCCAGCTTGTGGCCTATTCAGACTCCGACAGCAGGGAGGGGGCTGTTCTCTGACCCGGGTGGTGTCACCCAACACTCCGCGGGCACTGCCACCCTCTCTCTAATTAATTATCTCTCCAGCTTCTCTCCCTTTTCTGTTGGGCGCCTTCCTGCAGCTGAGCCCCCCCTTCACCCCATTGCGTTACAGCCCTCACAGGTCCCAACGGTGTTTGAACATCACATGAAACTTCACCAAAACCATCAGTGAAGCACCACACGTCGCAGAAATGAAGTCAGCAAGAACTGAAATGTTCTAGCCTAAAACATCTTCTATAGCATCTGCTGGGAAAAGTGAGACATGCTTAAAAGTCTTCAATATTCTTTTTATAGGTTTGATTTCAAGGTGCACACTTTCAGTCTCTGTACAGCCAGGGAGACCTCAGGAACACTGCTTCCTACCTGAAGTAGCGCGTTTTCCTGTTTCAGTTTCGTAGCGTTGTTTTCTGCTTTAACAGCCCGTTTCTGAAACAGAATCACAGAATCACAGCGTGATATGGGGTTGGAAGGGACCTCTGGAGATCATCCAGTCCAAGCCCCTGCCAGAGCAGGGCCACCCAGAGCAGGTCCCACAGGAACGTGTCCAGTGCTCTCGGTAATAAATGGAGTTCTAGACCAGGGCACAGTCTTCTATAAGGGAACACTTCAAACCCATGTCAGAGCTGTTTAGTGCTCACATTAAAGGGTGAAGGAATCACTTCAGCTTCCCTCACTCTCCTGGGGAAGGAAAAGGAACAGAATTACACAGTTCCACCTCCAAAAAAGCTTGTGCTTCTGTGGCAAACGCCAACACGTACCGTCATCAGCTGGAGGTTTTGCTCCACGTGTTGCACCATCGCTTCCAAATCCTGCGCTTCTTTTTCTTCTTTAATTTTATTTTCCTCAAGCTTTCTTTCAAGCTTCCTCATCCTTAAAAAACAGGAGAAAATACGCAGTAAGCTCTTGTAGCATTAAATACCTTAGTAAGAAAATTCTAGGGAAGAATCAAGAAACATTCATTTGTGTTGTAAGAAAAATGAAGTCTTCCCACAGAAGTACAGTTCCAGGTTGTGGCTCAGGGGATTTCTTTGTTCAACATCCATTAGTGTTAAAGGGTACTATGGAAAAAGGCCATGCAGAAAACACAGCCATTCACAATCAGCCTAAATAAGGGTAATTCTGAATCCAATGGTCACCATGGAAGCATCAGCTGCCTTGCTGTGAGGAGCAGCAGAGTGCAGAGGAACTTCAGAAGTTGCCACCCTGGACTAATCAACGGGTTGTTTAACCTCAGGAAATTCAACTACCCCAGTACCAAGCTGCTCACCAGCAAAAATAAAAAAAATGCTTTTCTTGCTTCAAAGGAGAGAGGCTAAGATTCATTATTTTGTTAGTCTGAAGCTTTATGAAATGCATCCTGTCAAGCTCTACCCTCATTTTCTTTCACCACCTAAACTGCACGAAACACAAGCCACACAAGCACACTCATCAGATGTCAGCTTGCCACTTACTTTCCAAGCCCTTTTCAATAAGAAAATCAGGTTGGTTAAAGCTTTTTAACAAACAGCATAGATTTCAACTACATTTTTCTTCTTTAAAGACGCTGACTGTTTCCAGTGAGCACCTCTTCTAAGACAGCTCCTTGCTTATGTGGTTACTTTCCCCCAAACTGTGGCTTACGCACTTGTCTGCTTGAGTTTCAGAGAAAATCTGAAGCTTATTGATCTTGCTTCTCAAACTGGCATTCTCTTCTTTTAGCTAAAAAAATAAAAATTCTCATTAGAAATGAGGGTGCAGCTTCACAACACTACTAACACTCAAAGACCAGTACCAGAAGAAATACGCAGCTTTAACTCTAGCGCTGGAAAGTCTTGCACTTGCTATTCCATTCAAGCTTACTTTTGCACTTAGTTTTCCCCTCTCAAAACCATTTAACTTCTTTAACCCTGTGGGGCACAAAAATGTGGCAGCAAGCAACCAGCGCTGATGTGACTAATCAAATGCTGTCAATTCTAAATTAATATGACCTCAAGAGGCGAGAGCACGAGGAAGTCATGCAAAAAGCAGCAGACAAGGTACTGGATCAGACTCGTGCTACAGAGTTTTTCAGAGCCAATTCTCTTCCGTAAGCATCCCTAACAAGCTACCACATAAGGCACAGCCCTCACTGACAGCACGCTTTGATAACACCTGAGGCTGACACCAAGTTTCTGGAACAACCTGGTACAGGAGCTCGGAGCTCGTCTGACAGCAGATGGAGCCCACAGGGGACCTTTGTGTCCACCCTGAGAAAGGTGCTGGGCGAGAAGATGAGGTTATCATAGAATCATAGAATGGTTAGAGTTGGAAGGGACCTCAAAGACCATCCAGTGCCACCCCCCTGCCCTGGGCAGGGACACCTCCCACCAGACCAGGTTGCTCCAAGCCCCATCCAGCCTGGCCTTGAACCCCTCCAGGGATGGGGCAGCCACAGCTTCTCTGGGCAACCTGTTCAGTGCCTCACCGCCCTCACAGGAAAGGTTCCTACCTCCTCGTAGCTGGGCTGCCGCAGGGAGGGGAAGCCCGGCCCCGGAGGCGCCCCGAGGGAAGCCCCGCTCGGGTCCCCGCCGCCCCCCAGCCCCGCGCCCTCCAAGAAGAAGGGCGAGGCGGGGCCCGCGGCGGCGAGGTGGGCCTGCTCCACGGCCGAGGGCTGGTAGCTCCCGCTCCATTCCTCCTCATCCTCATCCTCTCCCAGCGGCGCCGGATCCGGGAACAAGAGGGGGCCGAGGCTCGGGCCGGCCGGCGCCGCCGCCTGCGGAGAGCAGAGAGGCTGAAGGGAGTCGCGTCTCTGCCCGGGACCTGCCTGGCGAGAATCGCCCGCCTCCTCACCGCTCCGGGCTTTGCTGCGAACGAACTCGTGGAAGGAGAAGGGGTTGGGCTCGGCCGGGCCCGCCGGCGGCGACCCCCCAGCCGCCATGGCCGCCCCCGCTGGCTGAGGCGGAGCGGCCACAGACCGCGGCCTCAGAGCGGGCCCCGCCTCCCTCAGAACGGACCAATTAGCGAGCGGCAGCCACGCTCTCACCCAATCGCCTCCTCCGAGCACCGCCTCTTTCCCCGCCCACCCGCTCCCCCGGGGTCAGCGCGCCTGCGCAGTGCCGCCCGCTGGCTCCCGGGTGACGGCAAGATGGCGGCCGCCATGGCGTGGCTGCGGCGGGGCGTCTGGGTCCCGGCCCGGCGGTGAGGAACGGGCTGGGGGCGGGGGATCGGGGGGGGATGCGGCGGCCGGTGACAGGTACAGGGAGGTGCCGCCGGGCTCGGCTTCCCTGACGGACCTCCCGGTGTGCCGCAGGTGCGGGCTGGCGGCCGGCCGGAGCTACAGCGGTGGCGGCGCCTACCCCAGCGTGTCGCTGACCTGCCCGCTGCCCGGTGTGCCCAAGGCGGTCTTCGCGGCGGCCGAGGGCCGGGAGCGCTTCGAGACGCGGGTGACGGTGCTGGAGAACGGGCTGCGAGTCGCCTCGCAGAAAAAATTCGGGCAGTTCTGCACCGTGGGCCGTGAGTAACGGGCACCGGGCGGGGGGGGGCTGAGGGGGACACCGGGCCCGAGGAGCGGCCTGAGCCGGGGACAGCCACACCGGGCCCGGCTGGGGGAGCGGCGGTGACACTTCAGCTCCCCCGGGGGGTCTGGGCTGTGCCTGAGGAGCTGGGGGAGGAGAAAAGTCACGCTGAGTTTTTTTTTTCTCTTCCTAACGCTAGTTCTTATAAATTCGGGATCGAGACACGAAGCGAAATACCTCAGCGGGATCTCCCACTTCTTGGAAAAGCTGGCCTTCTCTGTGAGTACCCTTCTGGGCCTTACTGGGGGGGGCAGGGTCTGTGGGAAGCACCGTAAATCTGTGCAGCAGTAGGGCAACAGGGGGAAAAGAGAGAGAGCAGTGAGGGCAGGGTCTGCTCCTCACAGCAGCACCGAGGGTTTGAGCTGTTTACGTGGACAGGGAGGGTATTCCTGGTTGCTACAACTATATTTTGAAAGCCCCTTGTGCTTTCCCCTCCGAGGTTGGTGAGTATTTACCAAGCCCTTAGACTTCCAAGAACGTAGATGCTGCTTGTTCTGGGCCACCCTGGAGGATTTTAGCATTTCGTAACACTGGTATCTTCATTCTTAGTCCACAGCGCAGTTCGGCAGCAAAGATGAAATTCTGCTCACCTTAGAGAAGCACGGGGGCATTTGTGACTGCCAGGCATCAAGGTACGAGGCTCTTTCTCTGTGTTACCTGGGTGGCTGGAACACTGACAGTAGTTTGAGTCGTTTTTCCTGGTGTGTGACAGTAAAAGCCAGTTCTCCAAGCAGCAGAAATCCATCTGTGGCAATTGCTAGGAAGCTACAGAAGTGAACCCGAAAGGGTTCTAAAAGTCAAATCTGTTTCCTTTTGAAAGTATTTAACGATAATGGTCAAGTGGCTTTATCTGTGATTTCCTGATGCACGTTTACTGAATGATTGTGACTTCTGAGGGCCAAACCCATCTGCTTGTGTTGCAGGGACACCATAATGTATGCTGTTTCTGCTGACGCCAAAGGCCTGGACACGGTGGTCAACTTGCTGGCTGATGTAGCCCTGCAGCCCAGGTTATCAGGTCTGGGAACACAAGTCTCTGTCTCAAAAAGACTTCTGATGCGTGACTCGCTATTAGAGTTCAGAATTCTTCATTAGAGCGAGCTCATCAAGAAGTTACCATGTAGCAACTGGGTACTTTTTCTGTTATCTCTTGCTTTTCTCTCTTATTACAGATGAAGAAATTGAGATGACTCGCATGGCTATCCGATTTGAGCTTGAAGACTTGAATATGAGACCTGATCCAGAGCCTCTCCTCACCGAAATGATCCACGCGGTAAAACCCTGAAAAGCCCTACCTGGTGTACAGACACGCTGCGTTCCCTCCCTGACACAGGGTTTATCTCAGACTATTCCGAAAACAGATTTTTTTTGCTACTCAATTAGATTTCAGTGGTGAGAGGGAGAATTTTGCTCTCCCTCCACTTAGAAATCCTACATTCTACACACATTTAAGATATTAACGTGAACTAGAACTATCTAAGACTTATCTCTGTTGACACGAGTGACAGCACGTTGATGAGTTACGCTGACATGAGCGAAACAGCGCTCAGCCTTTCCTCTCTTACATCCTTCAGCTGGGCATAATGCTAAAACAGAAAGAAAAGGTTTGGATGGAGGGGGGCCCGAGAGGTGATTGTCCCCCTGTACTCGGCACTGGTGAGGCCTCACCTCGAGTACTGTGTCCAGTTTTGGGCCCCCTACCATAAAAAAGACATTGAGGTGCTGGAGCGGGTCCAGAGAAGGGCGACAAAGATGGTGAGGGGTCTGGAGAATAAGTCTTATGAGGAGAGGCTGAGGGAACTGGGGTTATTCAGCCTGGAGAAGAGGAGGCTGAGGGGAGACCTTATTGCTCTCTACAACTCCCTGAAAGGAGGGTGTAGAGAGATGGGGGTCGGTCTCTTTTCTCAAGTCCCAGGCGACAGGACAAGAGGAAATGGCCTCAAGTTGCGCCAGGGGAGGTTCAGGCTGGATATTAGGAAAAAATTTTTCACTGAAAGTGTTCTCAGCCATTGGAATGGGCTGCCCAGGGAGGTGGTTGAGGCCCCATCCCTGGAGGTGTTCAAAAGACGGGTTGATGTAGTGCTGGGAGGTCTGGTTTAGTGATGATGCTCCTTGTTTGTTGTGCGGGTGTCTATTTTTGTCAGTGAGGTTGACGGTTGGACAAGATGGTCTTTGAGGTCCCTTCCAACCTAGAAGATTCTGTGATTCTGTGAAATTATATACGGTGCTTTAATCTATTTGTTTCCTTATAGGCAGCCTACAGAGACAATACAGTTGGACTGAACAGGTTCTGCCCGGTGGAAAACACTGAGAAGATCGATCGGCAGGTCCTGCACTCCTACCTGCGCAACTACTACACCCCAGACAGGATGGTGCTGGCCGGGGTGGGCATCGAGCACGAGCAGTTGGTGGAGTGTGCCAGGAAACATCTGCTGGGAGTGGAGCCGGTGTGGGGCAGCGGGCAGAGCAGGGACGTGGACAGATCCGTGGCTCAGTACACAGGAGGCATCGTCAAGGTAAAAGGAAGTGGGACCCGGGGGGAGGTGGCATCGTGTGCCTCTTCCTGGCTGTTGGGGAGGTGATAGGACAAGAGGAAACGGCTTCAAGATGCACCAGGGGAGGTTCAGATTGGATATTAGGAAAAAAATTGTACTGAAAGGGTTATTAAGCGTTGGAACGGGCTGCCCAGGGAAGGGGGTGAGGCACCATTTAAGAGATGGGTTGACACAGTGCTTAGAGACATGGTTTTTATCAGAGTTAGGTTGATGGTTGGACTAGATGATCTTAAAGGTCCCTTCCAATCTAGACAATTCTATGATTTCTCTATAAGCTTTGCTTTTCTAACATTACATATTGTTCATGAACATAAGCCAAAACTGGCCATGACAGCCATTTTCCAGGTAACAGGTTAATTCCTGGGAATGTATCAAACTGGATACAACAACAGGGAAAATCTGCCCTACTAACCTGTCTGCCTTTCCCACAGGTTGAAAAAGATATGTCAGATGTGAGCCTGGGCCCTACTCCCATCCCAGAGCTTACCCACATCATGATTGGGTTAGAAAGCTGTTCGTTTTTAGTAAGTATCAACCTAAAATCCTTTGTTTTGGGTGCCCTGGTCTCAAGAAGCATTGGCCCTCTTGCTGCACAAACAGACAAGCAGCTTTTTCACCGACAGTTTGATAAGGGCACTGACCTTTACATTCTTCTTGTGCCATCTTTCTTCCTGGCTCTTCACTCATCCCAGACCCTTGAGAGCTCTGCTGTTACCTGACTGAATTTCTTGTTGTGATTCAGGAGGAAGATTTCATTCCCTTCGCAGTGTTAAACATGATGATGGGAGGCGGTGGCTCTTTTTCAGCCGGAGGGCCTGGCAAGGGCATGTTCACCCGCCTGTATCTCAATGTGCTCAACAGGTGGGTTTGTCTTTCTGTGTAAGGGACAGCAGAGCAGTCTTCTCTAGCAGGTTCTCATGGACGGCTTCATCTTTTGAAAGCCAACACCCTGGGTTTTACATCAGCTTATTCCCAAGAAACACCCAAGACTGGTTTGTCTGTGGGCATTTTGCGAGGGTGAAAGCAAAGGGCAGAAGTCATCAGGAATCTTGTCTTCCCCCACTATACCAATCCCTCCTTTAATCAGGGGACAGTAACGGAACTGGCAGCAGCCACCAGTGTTATTCTGCTCCGTGTCATTCTGGGTTTGGCCTCAGGCACAGGTGGGGAGAAGGAAGTAGCTGGCACATACAGAAATCATGGCAGAGGCAGGAACTGACAATTCTCATTGGCACCACCAAGAATCCTGGAAATGCACTAGGAGGGGACTCGCTGTCCATGTTTGTTTCATTTTTACATTTAAATTCTTTAAAAAAAAATAAAAAATTAAATACTAATACTGTTTGTATACCCACAGGCACCACTGGATGTATAATGCAACCTCTTACCACCACAGTTACGAGGATACAGGTCTCCTGTGTATACATGCCAGTGCAGATCCAAAACAGGTATATAGCTCAGAATTCAAAGGCAGCTGTCCTTAAAAAGGAATCACATCACTTATTACCAGGCAGTAATGTTAATAAAAATAAGTATTGTTCTAATCTTCTTTCCATTATCTGTTTTCCCTAGGTTCGAGAGATGGTGGAAATCATCACAAGAGAGTTCATTCTAATGGCAGGAGCAGTAGGAGAGGTCAGCACCCAAACTTACATGCTGTGCCCACAGCCTTTGAGCTGAAATCTTGCACTGCACTGACCTTGCTAGAATGGATTTTTGTAGATAAGCATGTTAAGTATTTCTGTAAAAGAAATAATAATAATTTTAGCAACATATTCACAAAGAGGCAGGTGTTCCCAGAACTCTTACGTGGCATCTTGGAGAGCAGTGGCCAGACTTTTTTTAACCATCCGTTTGTATTTGCTGCTCATTTACAGGTAGAACTTGAGCGAGCGAAGACGCAGCTGAAGTCCATGCTCATGATGAACCTGGAGTCTCGGCCAGTTATCTTTGAAGATGTGGGAAGGCAAGTGTTGGCCACAAACACAAGGAAGCTGCCTCACGAGCTCTGTGCCCTCATCAGTGAGTAGACAATGCTTTGTCTTGCCTTGACCGAATTGTAGGTACAATTGGGTGGGGGGGGAGCAACTTAAAACATATTCTTGTAACGCAGATGAATTACCTTAGAAAGCACAGGGGCATAAATACTACAAATCTGTATTTCAAACCAATCTTCTCAATTGCTTGCAAGCTACCACAATGCTTGTTTTTATCAGGAGGAAGGAAAAAACAGAAGCACGGTAGAGAAGGTCTAGAGTTAATGACAGTTGTCACAGCTCTGGCTTTTTTTTTTTCCCTGCAGGTCAGGTGAAACCTACTGATATCAAGAGGGTGGTCACTAAGATGCTTCATAAGAAGCCAGCTGTGGCTGCCCTGGGCGACTTAACAGATTTGCCCTCTTACGAGCACATCCAGACGGCGCTTTCCAGCAAGGACGGGCGGCTCCCTCGGCTGTACCGGCTCTTCCGATAAAGCAGCGCACCCCGCGCCCCTGACAGACTTGCTTCTTTTTTTAAGATATTTTTGACATTATAATATTGCTGCGAGCCCTCTTCCCCCCATCTTTCCAGGCATACTGTGCAGACATGGAGCTATGCGACAGCTGAACAAAGCTGCTTCACGACTCTGGACCGTGAGGAGCTCGTTGTGTTGGGCTCAAAGGCCCACCCTGGCTCTGGGGCTTCGGCCCTCCAAGTAGGTTACAGCCTTCTCTTGGCATTGGGGAGAACACAGCAAGCCAAAATATTCATCACTACAACTGAAAGCATGTTATCTGAGAAGTCACTGCTGTGTTATCACTTGATCATAGCAGCAGTAGAGGTGGGGCTGTCACACGGGAGGTGCTGGTGTGTGCCCTTCTGGTGGGATGTGGTGGCACCTAAAGAGGCTGGGCTTATGGATCTGAATTCAAAGAATATTTATAGCCATTACCAAGGTGAGCAAAGACTTGGTCAAACTGAATTAGGAAAATACCAATTGTTATCCATGTGAGTAACAGGATTCCTGCAGTCCAGGTTTTGTTACAAGCATCATGGATCCATTTCATCGGTGTAATTTACCATCTGTAGTACTATTATAAGTTACATGGCTGGAAATAAATAACTTCATCATTTTGCTAGAGCTCAGAGGAGAGTAGACTTATGGCATAACTAAGTTTCTGTAGAGAGATACTGTATGTAATGCTACATGGACACTTAGTGTAGAATTAAAGCAGTCCTCTTCTTTGGGTTTTTCATTAAGTGAACTACGCTAAGGAATAGAAGTTCTTTTACTCCTGAGCTGGTACCAAAACAGGAAGTTATTAAAGTTGCTGCTGCATCCTACTTCCTTCAAATTGTCACATAGATGAACTTAAGGCCTTGCAAAAAGAAGACGTAATGGTCAGTCTCAGAGCAGAGCTGGAGCTCAGACCAAAATGATGTTCAGAAAGCTCTTTAAAGTGAGTGACACGAAGGTGAGTGCCACTCGTATGATATACTGAAGAAGACCCAAAAGAGAGGAAATTAAACATTTGACTTACATAATCCCCTAATATATGGGCTTAAAAATGTCGAGAGCTGCATTGCAGCACTTCACTGGCTCGATGAGCGTTGTAAAGAGCAATCAAACTGGGAGCAGAACACGGTGAGGCAGCTACTACCTGCTTTACCCCCACACCTTTCCTCCTGCAACTAGAAAAGATGTTGCATCGCTTCTTGTGGAACCCACAGTATGAGAGTCCTGTTCAGTTGTTGTGTATGTTCATAAGAAAATAAAGAGACCTCTGAATGACTGGAGCAAGTAGTAAGAGTTCTGAAATTCATCAGCTAATGGGCTGGGTTTCTTGAACTGGCTGGTGAAATGGGCTTTGTTTGTTCAATGCAAATGATTCCCAAAGGAATCTGTCCCTTTTTTTCCAGCTGAAAGACAAACAGCTCAGGTCACCCCAACGGTTACCGTCCATCACACAAAGAACTCTGGTTCTGACAACCCTGCAATAAGAGCTGGTTCTCATTTAAGGTATTGCATTAATTTATTTTTATTCCTTTAAAAAGAAAGGAAATCCAAATACCTGATGGCTACAGACAGGTCAGTGCCATAAATGTTTGTACCGCAGAACAGAAGCTCTGTCTTGGACAGGTTGCATAGTTAGCAGCACTTCCTCCAAGTTGTTTGCACGCTGTTTTATCTACTAAGGTGATTAATGATCCAGCCAATCTGTGCCCATGAAGTATTAGCTGTACTGAACGTTTTACCAGTGCCATACTGGTCAACGTAGTATGTTTAGCCTTAAGACAACACTACTTGAAAAAACGGCAAGTTATTCACAGTTGACGGAATTGAAAACATAAAAAAACCAAAAGGAATTAACCGTAATCAGAGGTAATGAAACTGCATTGGTCTGAGTTGCTGCAGTTTCTCTGCACACTTCCCATGTACCCTCCCTCGACATTGTCATCGCTTTGGTGAAGCATCACACAGTGGCTGTACTTGATTTTCAACTCGAGCCTCCTGCTGAAGGCAGGTGGTGTTTTATCAGCCCTGGGGAGGGCAAACGAGTTGAGTCAAGGAAGGGATTGTTCTGAGCACTCTCACCAGCCAAATATACAGAGTGAGAGACTGGTATTTCCCCCCTTAGCAACAGAAGGCCTAGAGAATAATTGCTGAAAGGCAATGTTTCTACACTTCAGATATACAGTAGTACATTCACACAGGTCTTGCTGTAGAGGACCAAAAAGGCCCAATGCAGGAGCACCATCCTTACACAAAACTGCCCCAGTCTCCTCACTGGTCCCTGTTACGCTTTTTACAGAATACTGTACACTTGGTTACAGGCAAGGAGAAAAAAACCCACAAGCCCATATCATATGTGTGTTAACCAGACCAACTCAAACAGACAAATTCAAAAGTGTTCACCTTTCTGCAGGCTTTTCTTAGGTCCCCTGCCCCTGGTCATGCCAATTCCAGAAGCTGTGCTCCCCCAGCGTGGAGTCATCTTAGAACCAAAAGACTGTACCTGGTCACTTCCAAAGATAGTCTGGTTAAAAAGAAATCAATTACATCTGTCGGGATGGATGTCCTAAATATCCGACTCCATTTTCTTCAGCAAAAGCACTTGAGCTACATGGATTAGCTCATGCAGATGGAGGATGAGGTTTAAGACATTCTTCACAAGCCACAGCAACTGCCAGAGGTGCTTAGGCAGACAATTCCCTGCAGAGTTTGCCGTGGCCTGAAAGCCTCTTTCCGGGCACCTCTACCACAAGCATCGCAGAGTCCTCAGCTCAGGAAATGCTACAAATGCTGCTGGATTTTTGGTCCTTTTGCTCTTGCCGTTTCTGAAGTTCCCTTGTGATCCGCCTCTTTATTCCGATTAAATAGAGTTCTCTGTCAAACTGCCCTGCAGCAAGTGGAATGCTGCAACAGAAACACAAGCAATTAGATCAGGGCACAAATACAACCTTCTCGTTTGCCCAACACTTCCCAACTAGTCCATACAATAAAGGTCAGAAACCTGTTTTTGACTTTCTTAAGGCATTCGGCTACTGCTGTGGGAGAAAATGGGTAAATCCAAGTTGTTCTTCCACAGCAGTAAGTTGAGATTTTTCATGATACATTAAAATGAAGAAAATACTGGCTGTAAAAGGCAAATGCACTTTCAATTTAAGCATGAGCAGGCCTGCATTCATAAGGGGCAAAACACACCCATTTGAAAAGCTAAACTAGTTTCCTGTTAACCTGGTGTGTTCGCTGTACGGCTCATGCACAACAGGGGGAAAATGTCTGTGCTGAGAGGAAAACCAGAGCTGCATCTCAGCTAAAACACAGACTTACAGTCCATCGCAATGGACTCTGTTTATCTCCCTCAGGAGGATTAAGGGACCTGGCAGCAGGGATTTCAGATGTCAGTGCAAGGTTTAAGCGCTCTTACTGGCATACATTGGGTAAAAAACAGGCTGCTAAGTGCTACGTGGGATAAACTCTATTTCAGGAACTCTCCTGAGAGGACAAACTCGGAACAGGAGCATATCCCAGGATCTCAGCAGCCATGTGCAATCACACAGAGTGGTTGAGGAGGTACTCACTTGTCTCTGCCAGGTCTCACTTTCACACGAAACAAGGCAAAAACGGGCCGATGGTCTGAAGTTTTGATCACAGGACAGGAGGAGTACTTGACAGCCTGGATGTCGTCTCTGTACCGACTGCGGAACACAACCCGGTCCTGGGAGGCAGAGAAAAAAGGGGAGACTTGATGGCAACTCCCTTTGCACACCCACCCTGGAAAGAAGCACCGGTTCCCGAGAGACAAATCCATTCATTTATCACACTCCACTTAGTGAAATTAAGTGTCTTGGGCTGGGACACATTAATGAAGAATGTGTGTCTGATCCCAATAGCGGTTCTGTGCCCAGCTCCGAGCACAGGGGAGGATGCACTGGAATGGGATGTAAGGCAGGGAAAATGAGATTAGCAGCCTGTGCCAAACTCTCCCTGGGCTCACAGATTCAAACCAGTTCCACGTGCCCTCTTGCCCTCAAGCAACAAATCTCAGCAGGGCTAAGAATCCCCTTTGGAGGGAGAGGTGAGGCTGAGCAGCTCTGAAAGCATCCTTACCGTGTAGGAAGGAGTCCTTTGTTTGGAAGTGGTGTCATAGCTGTCCTTTCCTATGTCAAACTTGTAGGAAGGACGGAAATTAATGTCAGCCTCTTGGAATCCCTTGAAAATAGACCCTGTAAGGGAAAGGGAGAACAGCATGAACAACAAATTCCTCCTTCCTAAGAACCTGCCACACTTTCTGCATTGATTCAACGCTGTTTAACTGGTGCTGCCTAGAAACAACAGCCATGTACACAAATGACTAGAAAAAACTGGGCTTGGGCTCTAGAAAGGGAGCAAGCTCAAGTTCTTATACAGTGAGGATAAAAATTAGCCAGTGGCTACTCAGTCAGTGGCTATTTAGACAAAGAACACAGTGCGTGCACTTCCCCTTCCACTGAAAGCTCACAATGCTTTGCAAATGCCTCAAACCTGAACGCCCTGGACACTGCCAGAGAATGATGTCCAGTTCATAGAGGAGTCAGATGAAAGAGAGCAGTAAATGGCTTGGGAGATTACACTAAATATAGCAAAATGCTATAGCAAAAAGTCCCTTGTACAGAGTGCCCCTGTATTTGACAACCTGCCTTCCTTTTTTAGGGAAATCAACAAAAGAAAGTAGGGAAAGTCTTTAGGAAATAAGGATTGGGCTGTAATTATTTCTGTTCATGGAGACTCGGGAGAAAACCAGCTGTCCCTCACCCCTACTCATTTCACTGGTAAGCTGGTCATACGCCAGTAGCTTGGAGACATCAGTTTCTGGGTTCTGGTTCAAGATGGAATCCACAGTCTCACGGTCCTTGTTTAGTCGGAAGTTGAAGTCACCAAACCAGAACACTTCATCAAACCGAGTTGTGACATCATCTGCAAATTCAAGCCAGAAGTGTCAGTATAAAGGTAAACATCCTGAAAAGTTCTGAAAGAAAAAAAACCCAAACTTTTAATCCCTGAATTTCCTTTTGACTTGAGGAAAATTAAAGTATATGATGCGGCTACTGCGCTACAGTTGTATGAGGCACAGCTCACTGAGAGTACTGCCAGAGACGTTCAAGGAACAGGCATAAATTCTTTCTTTTCACTACCAGGAGATATAATTCTTGAGCATGTTTTCTGGCTGTGACCATCCCAGACTGTGGTAATAAAAAAACAGTAGAAAATTGAAGCGAAATTTTAAAAAATCATTAAAAAAACATATCTATGGGAGCTAAAAATAGTATGAACGCAAAAACTGAATGCTACACTACAGATGAAGAGTAAATTCACCTTTCTAGAAAAGGGGCTTAGCTATATATCTAGACATCATGTTAACAGCACAATATTAAGAATCAATAATAGAATTTGGCAAACAATATGCCGACCTGTGTATATGCAAATTGAAATAATGTTCTTTCTCTTAAGTCTCGAAATAATTTCTACTTGTTCTAGAAAAGACTTGGAAAATGAAACACATCCATAATATTGACAACCAGTACACCAAAGTTATCATACTGCTGTTCTAAGAAAAAACACATCACATGAAAATTCCTTTCAAATTTTCTCTCTTCCACTCCATTTCAACTTTTTCTCTCAAATTCCCCCCAAAATGATGCCCCACCTAAAAAAAATAATTATGTGAACAGTAACCATTCTCAGACGAAAAGCCCCGTGGCTTCTTTTTGTACCATCTCAAATTAGTGCTATCAATCATTCTCTCTTCCTTAGTGCAGACTGACAGACAACGTGCAAACTCTGTTTGTGTGGGCTCCCCCACAAACATGGTTTCACACTTACTAGAACTGGATCGATAGGGGTTTGTGTCTGGAACATTCTTGGGAAGTGTAAGGGCTTGAATGGTTTTATTGTAGTCCAGTTTCCTCTCGTTCACCTTACTGTCCCCAGCTGAAAGACAGAAATCCCATTTACTGCCAACAATGCGTCATTTTCATTCAATTACCATTTTTGGTTACAACAGCAGCTTCCAAAGGGCATTTGACATTTCCCACATGTATAATATAACCCACACTGAAAAATAATGACAGAAAGTGTGGAAAAAGGGATACAAACATGCAGACTTCATTTTTGTTTAAGTTAGTAAAGCAACCCCCTTCCCCCTCAATTGGGACACTTCTAACAAGAGTGTCAATGTCTCACATGTGAAGTGGGAGGTGATGAAGAGAAAGGAAGTCCCAAAAAACGTGAAGCAGATTCCCAGAGCTCCCTT